CGATAATGTTGTTTAATTTCTTTCTAGGTTCAAAACTTCATTCAACAAGCAAAATGTGCCAGAACTTTGACATTTTCAAATTCATGCTGTAAGAAGAATTCTCCCGACGCAAAATAAAAGCGATATTAAAATTAGACGCTGCTATTGTCCTCCAAAGACAAATACAGAACAAATTTTGGCTAAGCCAAAAACACTGCGATAATTGATTTTGGTGCCGTTCTAAAATATTCTAATAAAGGTCAGATCTCGACACTTTGGATGGAAATGGATATAATAATTTTGAACCATGTAACAATCGTTAAATAGGCTCACGTCAAAAAATGTCACATGTAAAGAAAATCATTTTTGAAAGAAGTTATATTCGTTAGAACTATAATTCCGTATTTTACGATAAGATTTTCGTCGAAAAGGAAAGATACGCTTCTGGAAAATCCTTGTTAGGTAGTCCTGTACAATTGGCACTACGACCAGAATATTTTTTTCATTTTTTTCTTTTCATATTACTATAGATTAAACACTCCAGATTATGAATATAAAAATAATTATTAATTTTTCTAAAAGCGGTTCAGTTTGGTGGGTAAATACAAAATAAATTAATCCCCTACAGAAACAAAAAAAAAAAAATGCTCCGACGATGTGATTTCTTAAAATGTGAAAAAGAATTGTATTCTGTACTCTGGAGCGCTTAATCGCTACTAATATATGAATAGTATGAATAGTAATATATACAGTGTAACCCGGATATAAGAGAAACCCAGATATAAGAGAAACCCGGATATAAGAGAGATTTTCTCTGGTCCCAAATAAGAGCCTGTGTTAATGTATATAAAATAGACCAAACCCGGATATAAGTGAAACCCGGATATAAGGGACTTCTTCTCCGGTCCCGACAACTCTCTTATATCCGGGTTACACTGTAAATAGTAATATCTAAAAAAGACCTACATATTGCAAATTTAATTTTTTTTCTACATTTTAAAGAATCACGTGGTATGAACTTATTTCGTTTTGGGAAACAATATACGATGCCTGTCTGAATTTCTGGGATGAGGAATAATCAATATTTACATGAGAACAATTATCCTCATCGTTGTTGCTTTTATCACTTTGTGATAGTATCAACAAATATGAGAACAATATTCCACATGTAAAAGTGTAGATAACGTACAATAAAACTGAAGGCAAGAATTAACTCCTATCAAAATTTAATTTTAAAAATAACTCACATAATTTGAAGTGATTATTCTGTTGTAATAGGAAACAATAAAACCTTTTAGAGAATGTAGTTAAGGAAAGCAAGAAGAAAGGAATAACAATTAAGTCATAGAAAACGTATGGCTATCAGCAAGGGAAATAACCCAAGATGCGAACTCCGAATTGGAGATGTCAGCAGTCGAATGCAGAAATCTGTTTTTTTTTTGTTTCTTTTTAACAGTAAGTGGAAAATATGACACCGAAATCTGAAAGCGCATTCCAAAAGTTAAAACCGTACTAAGAAACTAAAAAAGTCATTAGAAACAAAGAAAAGGGTGTCTATATCTCTGAGATGAGGTATTATGATTACTTACATTATTTACATTAGTTGGACAGTTATCCTCATCTTTATTGCTATATTGACAACGTTTCGACCGTTGTACGCTCCGGCCTTCTTCAGGTGATTGGAATTTCGAGCCGAACCCTTTATTTCGTCCATCGGGGTAGATTGTTCCACGTGCCATGCTTCTTCGAGATCATTCAGTTATTTCCCTTTAACTCAACTTTCCAAGTTTTGGTTCATCACTGCTCTGGCCTGGTACTGAACTCACTCTTTGGGTCTAGTCACAGGATCTAACCAACAAATGTATCCACTGGAAGAGATCGAAGACAGTGGGCCGCCTACATGACGAGCTCTTGTGACTGCAAGGTGGAAAGAATGGTGGGTTAGATGGTGGGTTAGATGGTTAGGTTTTTAAGGGATATAAGGGATTAGAGATTATGGAGAGTCATGATCAAGTCAAGTTAAGCAACCTCGAGCCTGGCCAGTACCTAGATGGGTGACTGCTTAAAAGTAGCAGGGCCTGTAATCTTGGATGTGGGTGGGATAAAGGGTTTACCCAAACATGACTCTGTAACACCGTGTTCCTGTGCGATCACCAAAGTTAAGCAACTTCGAGCCTAGTCAATACCTAAATGAGTGACTGCTTAGGAGTACCAGGGGCTGTAAGCTTGGATGTGCGCGTGGTGTAATGGATATCGACTCGGAATTTTTAATCGGAAAGCCGAATTCAAATTCTAGGTGGATTTGTTATATTCACTATGCGCAAATACGCTTGGGAAAGTTATGAATCCACCTATTCTCCCCCAGCTATTGGTTAATACGTAAGATTTGTAAAACTAAAAATAATTATTATGTAAAAAAAATGCCTACTCAATAGTTAAATTTCGGCATTGAATAACCCACAGAGGTTTTGATATGCAGCTAAACACACCAACGAACCCACCAGCACTATGGTTTAAACACACTGACTAAAGAAGAGCTCACTATTCAACAACATCACCAATCGTGCACTTGGGTCGAATTTTTAAATATTCCCTTTTCAGGAAATACAGATCCCAAAACGCTAATGTATAGGAGCAATTTTCTTGTTGCGTGTTTGTTTTCGGAAATAAACAGAAAATGGTGAAAATAGATTCCCCGGAGACAGGACAAAAAGAAGGGGAAAAGAGGCAGTAGAATGCAGACTATCGTGAAAGTAGATTTTCCAAAAACCACACAAACGGCAAACTAAAAATACTGAACTCTTACGAAGAAGCAAGGATGCATTGTTGATGTCACGCCAAGAGACATTTGCGTCATATGCTGCCTAAACGGATAACGTTAGCCGGACTCATGATTTGAAATTATCCCTCTTTTTTGTTTTTATTTATTGTCCTTATTTTCATAAACTGATTCAGTATTCCCAGAATATCTTCATTGCGTTGGTCGCCATACAGCGTATAAGGCGGTGACCATTTCAATAAGAAGTCTAATAATAGATCCATTTTTGTACGCTGTAAATGGTACAATTGTTTTACTTTTTGCTTTTTCCCCCTAAGATATTTGTTCTGACAAGCGCCAGGTTTCTGCGAGAGAAATGTTAGCTTCTATATTCAAATGCTACTGAAAAGTAGAATTACTGAAAATGCGAGCATTTTTCTACAGTTCGCGTGATAGGTCTTTGAAGTGAAATAATAAAGACAGGTTTATTCTCGTTCAATAAATATTCCTATTGGAACTGAGAGTGTATAAAAACGAATAGCGGTGACATTTTTCATATTGGAATAGAAAGAAACAAAAAAAAGATTTCCCCAAATAAATTATTGTTTTGAGACGGAATGAAATATAAAAAAAAAAAATTGAATTCAACTTCGATTATAGTGTTTGACAATATATAAAACATAACATATACAAAAAAGCAATTTTAAAAAATACTCCGACGATTAAACATGAACGTCAACAATAACTTCCAGTCTATATTGTTATTTCATTACAGTGACCTAAACACGTTTTAATGCAAACCAATTAATTTAGGGATTCTGAGATAAAAAAAAAAATCCTAGTTAATTTTATTAGTTAGCTCCACATTTTCCTGTAAAGAAGTCGAGTATCCGAGCTTTGATTTTTTTTTTTTATACGCTTGACTATTCAGACCAATTTGATTTTGGTTTTTATAGTCACAAAGTTTCGGCAGTGGTATACTCCGGTCTGTTGGCATGGGGGGTCTGGACAATGGTAGCAACTTTAATGTATGGCACGCTACACTTCGGGTGGATGGGAATGACTGGTCCTCAACCATCGCACCAAGTTGCCATGCCCCGGTAAACTGTTTCAGCTGGCGGGCGAAACTCGGGTGGTCTTAACACGGCACCACTGGACGAAGGACTTGCTCGACAAGTGTCACCAGTGATGGCGGAATGGTTCGTCAGATGAACTACAACTCTGGCAACTGAACTCGAGAGCTGGAGGAGAATGATGGTCAGCTCAACACTCTAGCCCTCCAAGTACTCATCCCGGAGTTAAAAACGAAAAAAGGATATCTCAGGTGTCTGTCTTATGTGTTTTGCTATTTGGACAAGCATCCTGATCTTGGTTGTTATAGTCTCGACATTTCGGCTGTTGTATCACCTGATTTACTTCCGGTGTCTGTCCTATTAAACGCTATTTAATGAAACAGATATCCTGGTGGTTATATACACAACATTTTTTATATCCTCTGCTCTACTTCAGGTGTCTGTCTTATTATAAGTTTTACTATTCAGACCAGCAGGCTCATGTTGATTTAGTAGTCACAGATTTTTCGTCCGTTGTAGCCTAATGTCGGAAGTACAATGACCAAAACCTTTTGATTATAACAACAAAGACTAACCAACTGCTTATAATTATTCGATAATACTCCACGTCCCCTCGAAGCGTGGGCGATCATTGCTCTCCACTATAGCCTTTCTTGGGGCTCTAAGCAACATTTCACCATGCCTTGCTTCCCACTTCATCACGCATCCATCTAAAGTCATCAGGTATTTTATTTGCTGATCCCCTCTGTCCGTCTCTCCTTCTCCCTCTGTATATTTTTACTTTTCCTAAGCCCGTGTTCTTATAATATGGCCCAGAAACTAAAGCGTGCCTCTCGTTCCTTATTTTACGTATAAATGTATTTCTAGTTCTAATTTTTTTTTAGAACTTCCACATTGCTCACATGATCTGTCCATGGTATTCTCAGAATCCATCTGTACTTCAACTTGACTATTGCTACGAGGGTAAAATAGCTAGCTGATTCTCGTACTCGCTCTTCAGAGCTGCATTGAGGACAAAACATGGAAACAACGAAAATCGAGGAAGAGAAAAATATATATTACCAGAAAATGAACATTATGTATCACCTTGCGACTCACCTATTATTCATTCTGCTTATAAATGAAAGTTTGCTTGTATTTAATCTACAGAGTTACGAGCACATTCCAATATATATATGTAATATATATACAAGATAGATAGATAGATAGATAGATAGATAGACAGACAGATAGATAGATAGATAGATAGATAGATAGATAGATAGATAGATAGCGGGTGAATGGTTAGAAAGTTTGCGTTACAACTCAAATTCGTTAGGTTGAAATGTTCGGAAGTCGTTTCTAGCATGATTGCTAGCACGAAGTCACAAATCTTCGTGACCGAGTGTTTTACAATACTGGCGTTGTTTAAAACAAAAAAAAAACAGTTTGTTCATAATAGCTTAATATATTCTCTCCCCAAAAGATCCGCTTAGACTTAATAGACGACTTTGCACAGAAACAAATATTCAGCTGCTATACATACCTACACACTCACGCCCACGCACATACACATACACATACACACATATTAAAATCCCTATTAAACCAAAGGAGTGAATTAACTTTAAACTGCCGACACAGTTTAACTTTTACCTTAAAATATAGTTTTTTTTTTTAAATTACGTCTTACCATTTCTTATAGCCATAACTTATTAGTAAATAATGCCCCCCCTGTATAGTTATTATCTTATATTGTTTATTCAGCTTCAATATTGCTATGCTTTGCCGTCCATTTAGTATTATTAATATCTATATGTTCTACAATTTAATTTTATCTACTGGCACATTTAGAAAACATCCTGAACCTAAAATGATTTTTTTTCTGTTGAAATTAAATTTACGTCTGATTACTTTCCCACTCTTCCCTCGACGTCCTTTCAAAAACTGAAGGTCATAACTGACTACAATGACGATAGATTTGTTACTTACTGCAACAAATATATCGTGATTATCTGTCAATGATGGCCTATGTTTCGGTCTATCATGGTATGAAAAAATATCTCCGACACCTCCACACTCTGAGCTTGCTTTTCTATTTGGCGTAGATCTGACATTTAATTGGTTAATCAAGACATACCCACAAGTCTATTTTTAATTCTAACTGTATATTTCCCCATCACCACCATTATCTTTCGTAAAAGACGTATCACTTTGCTTTTGAAATTTGACGGTTCTGTATAGGTTGCAGGTTCGAATCCTGTCAAAGGACGAATATATTCTATGAAAATTTCTCGGACATTCAGGCCGGTAAATGTTATTTAATACTGTTTATTATAAACAGAGCATTTACTTAAATACTTGTATCTATAAAAAAGAGCGTTAAACATAAAAATGTCTTTAATAAATATATATATATTTTTTATATATATATATATTTACTTTTATTTTAAATATAAAATTTAAAAAAAACAATTCCCGTATAAAATATGAACTTCCTCATTATTACGCTAACCAGATATATTTAACAAAATTTACATTATGTAACGGTCTGTATTAACGCATGACGACCTGAATCATATTTCCGGCAAAGAAGAAATGCATCATATTTATCAATATATATATATATATATATATATATATATATATATATATATATATATATATATATATATATATATATATATAAAACATCGGTCTGCTGTTTTTCGTCGTTCTGTTTGTTATTTGTAAACTCCTGTTTTTGCACTGGGGAGTTAGGAGCGACAGAGTGGTCTCGCTGTTTTAATCGTCATTTTTCGGTATTAGGAATTTGCGCTAATATAGAGGGTGGCTGCAAGCTTATTTTTCGAAAAATTACACCACAATGGCCCTCTAAAAGCCCACATCTGAATGTTATGGATTACTGTATCTGGAGTATAGTCCTAGCTCATTAAAACCATAATCGTGACATCGTCGATATTGATATATTGGAGTGATACATAATTGAATCATGAAATGATATTCCTCTTGACACTATCCACAAAGCTACTACCTCCTGGTTAACACGCTTACAACTTTGTGTTAAACATTCAGGAAAACATTTCGAACATCTACGATGATAGTTTATTTTGTGCATGTATCAGTTCTGATTTTTTACTAAGACCCTTTATATTACTGGTTCACTCTCCGTTTTTTTTAGGCATTTTAATGGAATTTTATGGAATTTAATGGCATTTTAATGATATTTAGTGACATTTTCTGACGTTTAATGGCATTTTAATTATATTATTTTATGGCATTTTAATATATGCATTTTATTGCTTTAATAATATTTTGTAGCCCTGCGATATAAAAATTGATTATTCACTCAGTAGTTATCTTTCAAACTGTACATGCCAACAAGGGAAATTATTAAGTAATTATTAAGTATTAAGTGAAATTATTATGTATGTGCAAAACTGTCTGATCTGTACTGTTTTTATTATAATTTTCCTAAAAAGGCTCATATGATTTTTGAACACACCTAATAATCTTCTTTGTGTTCATTTTGTTGTTTTCCGTTTCCAAAAAGAATCTACTTTTAAATTAATTATAATAATGACTCAATTAATTCAATAATGTTCGCGAGAAACACAGAAAATGGCCGTTAAAGAAGATGAATATCGTGTGTGCATATATATATATATATATATATATATATATATATATATCTGTGTGTGTGTGTGTGTACTTCTTTTTTTTTCACTTTTCAACACATGAAATTCAAGCAAGAATAAAGGAATTGTGTGCCTTTTAGTTTTCAAAAGAACTCCGGCGAATGTACAAAGCATATTGCTGATGAACGTGACACTGACAAAAGACGAAATTTGCTATCATATTGTCGACTTTTCAATTGCACTTGAAAGGATTTGCTGTATTCATTTTCATCCAGTTCTGGCTAAAGCCGGAAGAAATTATTTAAAATGACCAGAAACAAAAAAAGGTAACAAAATATTATTTTAGCATCTTAGAAGAAAAAAGAAAAATCAATATTAAGTTTTTATCGAACCGCACAGCTTCATATCCAAAAAAGTGCTGAAAACTTATAGGCTTGTCCTACTTCGCAAAAACCAGTGTTTCAATTTCAATTTCGAAAGCTTTTTTTTTTTCTTTTTGTAAAGGTTACAGACTCCTTAAAATCAACGCGTCAAAGTTTCTGTGTGCAAGACCTCTATTATATCTCTTAGCTGATTCGGGATATTTTAATTGTTATATTCATATTAATTTATATCATATTATTTTGATATTTTATATTAACAGATATTGCACACACACACACACACACATATATATATATATACATATATATATATATATATATATATATATATATATATATATATATATATATATATATATATATATAAGGAAAAACAATAGGAAAAGTGTAGTATTAGCCGACACGTTTTCGTCCAATGTGAACCTTATCAAGGCAAAAAACGAAATGAATTTATTGAAACAAAATATCTATAAACAACACAATGTCATTAGCAACTGGAAGAATTTAGATACGCTCTACGATATTCATATGGTCAAATGAAAAAAACACGTCAATTACTTTATTATTTTTTCCTTTATACATATTGTCTTTTCCTACAGGTTAAGTCTGTAACTGTAATAATTAATATTTTTCTACATAGTTAATTCAACACAGACACACACACACACAGACACACACACACACACACACACACATATATATATATATATATATATATATATATATATATATATATATATATATATATATATATATATATATATGAATGGACGGTGTCTGTCTATTTCAGGACTGAATATTGAATGAAACAGACTACCGCCACTTCAGTGTCCACTTTTATATTTACATACGCTCTATCATTTATATTCAGTACATATATATATATATATATATATATATATATATATATATATATATATATATATATATATTAATAAATATATTTTTTCCTCGCCGTTACCACATGTCTAAATTTCATGTACAACGTAATCTCCAGGTGCTCATTTAAAATTGCGGACGATATTGTTAGTGCGTATTATTTCATCCCGTAAATAATATGAATTTTCCACTATTATTATAGTCCAGTATATATATCAAAATTTAAATTATGTAACGTTTAGTTTACAATCATCGGCCAACGACTGCATGGTTGAGCAAACTTAGATTTGTGCCTCCGTCGAGAAAAATAATTATTAATATATAATTTATAATTCTGTTATTCAGCTTCAAGCTCTATTTTATTAGCACCAGCGCACAATGTGCGATATTTTACAATATAATCTAAGCTTTCGGCTTACATTATATTAAAAAAATATATTTTATATTAAATATATATATTATGTTAAATATTAAATATATATATTATATTAAATATCTATATTATATTAAATATATATATTATATTAAAAAAATATGGATCAATATTGTGAATTTCTTTCTTCGTTCAATGATAATGTTATTAAACTTATTAGACGTTATGAAAAGAATTTACATAAAATAAATAGACAACACTTGTCTATATTATTTAATGAAACGTGTATGAATGAAAAGATGCAGCCTAAATACACACAATATATATATATATATATATATATATATATATGTATTACTGATCCCTCAATAACCATATATGTGGATTTTTTCATCTAACCACTCCCTTCCACTTCAGATTACCCACCAAAATTCAATCTTTGCCTTGTGTTTCTTTCATATTCATTTTAGTTATTTATAATTGTAACTACTAAAAAGAAGTAATATCTTGAAATGTCACTAAAGAAAGGACAGCGCGCACATTTTTCATATATGTGGATTATTCCATCCTATTTCCACTTGCTTATCTTCGCAATCATCTCCTCAGACCCACTGAAATCATTAATGAACCTGAACAAGAACAGAAAACTGTACTCAAAGATTAAAGGAAAACTTAAGGCTGTACAGATATCGTTGTACAGAAGGATACTGAGAATATCATGGAGAGAACATGTGAGCAACAAGGAAGTTTTAAGGAAAATAAAAACTGAAAGGACACTTGTTCTTAGAATGATTTGAAATTTCTGGAAAGAGGATTTCTGGAAAGAGAATTTGAAATTTCATAAAGAGGATGGAAGGCCTGAAGAATTTAACACTCACAGGGAGAAACAGAGAGTAATCCACTTAACGAACTTGTGTAAAGGCAAGGTAGAAAATGGACTGGGAGAGATAGCATTATAAGGAGACAGGTATTACATAAAGCTACAAACCATGAGAAGTCGTGGATCTTGAAGGAATGCGTATTATTTATACTGATATTAAGACATATTAAAT